CCCCCCCCCCCCACAAAAATCAGACACCTTGTTTCTACATGGCTGGACTAGCTGCATGATACTGATGCTAGCCAGCAGCCATCCTGTGAAGGGGCCCATTGACTTCAGAGAATGAGCAGTTGCAAGCCCCAGAGTGACTCTGCAAATCAATCACTTTGCAGTCAAAAACTGAGCTGGAGCCCCCAGATGACAGACATGGGGTTTGACACTCTACAGCAGCTCCAGCATTCACCCTGACAGAACAACATCTCCACTGTCTGCACCCAGAGAGGGAAGATGCTGTGCCCCTGCTGTTGGGGGATGCCCAAGGGAGCAGAGGATCTCCCATCTGGATCAACTGCCCCTGCATTAGGTTAGCCTTGGCCAGTTCAGGCTTGCACCCCCCCCCAGCAATAGTTTTTGCTTCCTTGCAGGACAATAGCCTGGATTTAGTGCACTCTCAGTCTCAGCAGCCTGTGCTGCCTGCAAGTCATGGGCTCCTTCAGCAAATGCACAGGAGACTTACCTGAAATTATTCCTGCAATGACTTGGTGTGGAAAGTGAGCAGCTAGGAAGATCCTGGACAGACACACGCACACTTGTACCCCCCAGAATGCTGTCCACAGTGCCCATCGCAGGCACCTGCAACACAGGGATTGCACAGCACTCAGCAGGGATGGGGTGCAAGGGATGTCAAGTCATTTCCCTACCAAGCAAGGTCTGCAGAGCAGCTCAAGAGACAGCTACAGCAGCCAGACTGTGGAGAGCATCTAGGCCCAGCCTTGTGGCCGTGAGATCAGAACATGCTGCCCATCACTTCATTGCAGAGAGATCAAATCCACTGGTAGAGCCCCTCTTATTTCCTCCCAGAGGGAGGCTGCACATGCTACATACAAGGCACCAAGGCCCAGGCAGACTAGCAGGCAGCAGCCCTGCCAGGGAGGTGTGCTACAGATCGGAGTGGGGCACCTCCCCAGCCAAGCAAATAGGATTCTCACTGCATTGATCAGCTGGAGGAGGTTGCACTTCCTGCCTTACAGCCCTTTTCCTGGCACCCAGGACAAGGCAGAAGTACTGCTGGGATCTTACCGTTTCTGGAAGGAGGACTGAAGGCACTGAAGCCAGGCATGGAGCAGAGCCGTCACCATCACATAACAGATGCCTGCTGAGCCCATAGCATGGCCCGAGGGGCTGCCTGCAGAAGAAAGGATGAAAGAGCCACTGGTGAGTTCCAGGGAAACTGTTTCCCATCCACAGGATCATCTGACCCACACATAGAAGCAAGTGATCTAGTTGCTTTTTCCAGCTCAACCCAGCCCACTCATCAGGAGGCCACGTGCTGCAGGCTCTCTATACTGGCATTAATAGTTTATAACAGGTTTATGCAAATTTCCTTCAATAGTCACAGGCTTTGATGATACCTTACTCAGTGGCTGCCACTTGTTTAGTGGCTTTTTGCCTCTTCCAGGGGAGGCAACAGAAGTGTTCCAGCTATTAGTTTGGTTAGCCAGACTGCCAGCCCACCCCAGCGAGAGGTGGAATAGGAACCATAGCATGTAGGCAAGGGCAGCCAGGAAGGAGCCATTTATTTCTCCTCCTCTCCTGGAACATGATTTTGGCAATCATTCAACTGTCTGCCCCTGCCCTTATTCCCAAAAGAAGTCACCAGCTGGCCATTGACCAACCTTAGAAGTGGAAGTCAAGTACAACAACAGTCTGAGGACTTGATCTCCAGAGCTGCCCAGCCAGGCTGTGTCCAAAAGAGAATTCAAGCAATGTAGGCTGCAGCTATTACCAATATGCCCAAGGCTTGGATCTCCAGAGTCCTCCACCAGACCACAGCCATGGGATCTAGGATTGGAGCAGCTTTAGCAGGTTCTGTCCATCCTGGAGTCATTTGTCTGCACTGGAGCACGTGCTGCTTCCCTGCCAAGACTGGCCACTGCTTTAGAGGGTCTCAGGGCAAAGACTACCCCACCTTGCAGTAGTGTATGCAATGCCTTAGATTCACAGATAGGCAAGAATGAGAGGTCCGACTTTCAGAGATGCAAGATATTCTAGCCTGATTTACACCCCACTCTGCTTGCAGAGGGCCTCTGAAAGCTAGCCTCTTAAACAAGTCCTAGTCTCATAAAATCACCAGCAGGCTCTGACTATTGTGCCAGAGAAGAAACAGCTTTAATTAGACTACATCCAGGCAGCCTGATCCTGTATTGCTTTTCATCTGTGGTTATTGGCCAACTGAATTCAAGCCAGGTCCTTATCCACATTGACTAATAAACCCAATTCCACTCTAATCCCACTCCCACTGAACTCATTACGACTACTCATGGAGTTCGGGCTACTTGACACAGGCAAGGCCATCAGCATCTGGAAGAGGTTTGGGCCAAGTTGCACAAAGGGTTTGCCAAGCAGGGCTGCTTACCTGGCCCCGTCTCGCATGTGAGAAGGTACTGTTGGATCACTGGGGTAGAGGTGTTGCCATAGTAACTAGTCTCATGGACCCACCAGTAGGGTCTCTGCCCAAAGAGAATCCTAAAGTGAAATGCAACAGATCACAGTCAAGGTCAGCACCACCTTTGTAGAAATCTATAGACATCTTGTGCTAATAAAGATTTAGAGCAAAAGGGACAAGTATTCAGGCATGGAATGGAAGTGCTGCCAAATGCAGACTGTCTTCCTAGTCAAGGCCAGCTTGTTATTCAGAAGAGACTTGTTCTTGGGTTAGCAGAAGAAGTCAGTTATCAAGGAGGCAATCTCTGCAGGTCAGAAGGCAAATCCTTCACTCTGCTTGGCAACACTTCTCACTTGGGTTGTCTGGGGGATCTTCCAGCTTAAGTCGGACCTTTCAGCTTGCCAAGTCCAGGTTTGAACATCCACGCTTAATATTCTATACACCAGTCTGGCTACCACAGTATACAGTTTTGAGTAACCACAGTTTTCCATGGCCACGCATCAGCCCGCCACCTGCCATTTTCCACCTGCATAAGCCTTTCGTCTTGCCAACCACTGTTTTGCCAAACATGGGGACTTTCAGGAACCTAACCCCAGCAGTTGGCGAGGGAAACCTGTAGCTAGTTTCATTCAGCCATCTTTGATTCAGCTAGGAACAAAAGTAGGGATGACCCATCTTTAAATACTACATGGCTGTTCAAGTCCTACCAGGCTTGTTCATACAGTGGTCAAGAGTTAGAGACACAAGCATGAGGGCATGTGCTACCCACCCAAGCTAGCAAGCATTTTGCATTTGTAGTGAACAAAGAGCTTGTGGCAGGGTGGGCTTCTGCTATGCTTCTCCCCAAATTCTCCTGGAAGACTGTTAACCACATCTCATTTTTCTCAGGGTTTATTTAAATCATGCTTGTACCAGAACTTACTACCCTCCAGGCATGTTCTCCATCAAGAAGCCATCTCCTGCAGCACCTCCACTGACAGCTTAAGAAGTCCTAGAGAAAAACTGAACAAGAGGGTCTCCCTCTCCTCCCCTCCCAGCACAGTTCTTTCCTGCAAACTTCCAGGGCTTGCTCTTCACACTGGCCAGAAGGCTCTGTTCTTCCAGGATCTGTTGCAAGAACCAGCCACCTTTCTATAGCTCTTCCCTCTCTGCTGAACTGCAAGTCTTCCCAGTTAAGTGAAAAAAAAAAAAAAAAAAAAAGGATCAAGGGGTCCTAGGCAATACAGGATCAGCTAGGAGTATAACTGATCTGTGGGGAGCCAAGGCCAGTCTTGCTATGCAAGAGGCCAGTCAAGTGAGCTCTAAACAGGATTCAGCTTCACTTCAAACTAAAATTTCTTGTAGGCAAAATGTTCCAGACCAAGGGTCCCAATTGCTAGCAGTCTCTCCCACACCCCAGTATAAGTGGACATAGGCAACACAGCACAGTGTTAGCCTCTGTTGTTTTGACAGTAACTCCCAGAAAGGAGAAGCCAGTCTGAGTCTCTCATGAGAGAGTTTGAAGTGATGCCATAAGAGCAAGAGTGTGATTGGGATACTGCTGCAATCTTTCCCCACTCTCAGACACATCAGCAAGGCAGTCCCCTACTGTTGTTACATACATACTGTAACTAGTTATCAATATGGCCTGAAACTACACCTTTATGAACTACATATGCAGCCCCATTAATACATCTAAATCATAACAACCAGCACATTTAGCATGCAATATTAATACTTCATATAAGCATATGTATTAGGAAGCAGGTGTACCCTCCCCCCACATGCTTTTTTTCCCTTTAATATAGGCACAAACCTGAGCCAGTTTGGGGCAGCAAGATGCACATACTTACCATTTAAAGACCAGGTTGAGCCAGTCCCCAACCACAGCTACCCAGAGCAGCCTGATGCCCACAGGTTCACAGAGGTGAAAGCAAATAGGGAAGAAAATGAAGAAAGTGGTTTTAAGGTCAGCAGCAAAAGAGATAAAGAGGAACCAGTCCTGGGAGCTCTGGTAATTCTTCTGAAGGTAAAGAGTCATTTGAACCCCAAAGCTGTGTAGATGATCCATTCTGGTCTCTTAGAGCATCTGCTTTACCTAAGAAGGGAAATGGCTAAGACTTTGAGAAAAAAAGAGCCCAATTGCTTTTTGGTTGGTTATATACCATTTGGGCTGCAGCTTGTGTTTGCTCTTCAAAGACCCTCCCCCAATTAGGACATGTTAACACCTGAGCTCCTCAGCAAACATTACTTCATTTGAATTCAACATAATTACCACTCCTTGGAGCTGGGTGCAGACCTCTAGCTCAGCGATTTACAATGAATCAATCAAATCAATGATTAACCCATTATGACTGCACTGGCTGGGGGGGGTGGAGATGCTCTCTTGTTTTGCAGGGGGTGTTTTTTATGTTTTTTCAGGTTCTGATTGGGAAAGGAAGCTAGTAAATGCTTTTGACTTTAGAGAACAGTGGCCCTCTGAGAAGTAACAGGGAAACAAGAGAGTTAAATGGATCTATCTTCAGTGGACAGGAATCTCAGAGGAATCCATATAAAATTAACCTGAGGCTAAAACCAGACAAC